GTTGAATGAATATATGTATTGTATACATAATGCAAACTAGTTCAATGGACAACCCAAATATAAGAGCAAGATTTTTGCTTGAAAAGTTGAGAATTCACGCTGCATTAATTCGCTACATCGAGTAACTATATTGGAGAGAAAGAAGATACGATCCATGATTGAATGTCTAGATTGGTTTGGATCAACAGATGCAAATTAAAACATATAAAATTGTCAGCTGATCTGGTTCATTCTAGAACTGAGGGTAATTTCGTCTAGAAGAAAGAGATTCTATCAAGGGAGACATGTTTTACAGATTGTTTGATTTGTTGTTACCTTAGCCTCTTTGGTCAGTCCTGTGGGACCTCTAAGCTGGTGTTGCTATGAAAAGCGATATAGAGCAAGGGGTAATCAAGACTTTGCAGAAAGATCTACACTTCCATTTTACAAAATACAAGGAAAGGGGGATTTTTTATTCTTGTCTCCGCCTTATATTATACTTTTGTCAAGTTTTTGTAACAGGATACCTTTAGAAATAGACCAATTAGTGGAGAATTTGGTCATATTTACTTCGGCTTATGACCAATACATTATACATGGAATTCGAAAAAGAAAAATATGTATAAAAGAAGTAAAAAATATGTGCAAAAGTGAAATATGTGAGGAAACAAGATCAAGTTGGTCCTTTTATGAGTGAAACAGTTTATTAATCACAGCTTGACAGATGTAAGATGTTGGATGAGGTACACTTGAGCTCTTTCACTATACGCATTAAAAATTGATGATCTAGTATAATTCATTGATTCCACTTTACAATGAATCCCATACATAAAAAATCTAGATGGTAATATATTAACTTGTTTGTGTCTTGTATCTAATTATATATGTCTGTCATACATGGAATTTAGGTTATCCTAAGCAAGTCTTTACCACTTGAACATCACATGCCTTTCATGAATAACATATTTCAGCATTAAGCTATTTTTTCTAATTATAAATTAACGCCCCTTGCTGATTTTACTTGAACGCATGAAATATAATTTTGTAGGATTTTACAGCAAAGCTTTCAGGTTATGATATAACTAACTTAATACATGGTACATATCCTGCAAAAACTCGGTGTCCTCATAATTTGCATTGGCGACTTATCCTGGGTGTGGTAAGTTACTTCATCCTATCTCCCATACATAACTTCCCCCTAGTCAGTCCTTGTGGTGATACAACTGTATATATATATATATATATATTATATATATATATATATATATATATATATATATATATATATATATATATATATATATATATTATATATATATATATATATATATATATATATGACCACAAATCACATTCTCAGAGCCCTTGGAACTACAGAGCGATCTCACGGGTTTTGAAGTGGTAGTTACGGAGTTGCCAACACGGAAAAAATACCTAATCAAATTGAATTCCAAGAGAGTTGTTATCAATGGTTTAAGCAACATCGAAAACATCGAAAACGGTCTGTGGTTGATATTGCAGACAAATTTTTTCCAATCTGCAATGAGGTGGATTTAAAATCAAGGATGCTAAGAATCTTGGAGAAGAATGCTAAACGGGGTCGGTCGAAATATATTTTTTCAGCAGGGAGTGCAAAATAAAAACCCCCTCAAATATGTAATTAATACAAACCACTAAATTAGTATAGTGTTTATAAATTATCATCATGATATGTCAAACTAATATCATGATCATTCAAACTATTATCATGCTCATCCATTGTTATCATCATGTGTAAAATCCCAACACTAAAATTACCATAAAGCCAAACATGTTACATGCATATTCACAATTATAATTCACATTAGCGGCCTAAATACAAAAGTATGGATACAAACCAACTAAAAGGTTTTTTAAAAAGTTTCATAACTAGTTGTATAAATACATAACTACCTAGAAATTTATAATCCATATACATATATGTATACCAAGTACAAACGTAGTAGTATCAACTACTCTAAATCCTCCAACAAA